TCTGGCAGGTAAATATCTTGCTACGCCGGCTACAAAAGTGCCATGTGAACGCCTGATCTCACTTTCAGGTGACATTGTAAATAAGCAGGCAGCATTATCTCCTGCAAATGTAAACAAACTTGGGTTGGCTGAACAAGAAGTAGGACTGAGTGGACTTGTAAACAATCTACATTTGTAAGTTGCACTTTTACGATAAAGAAATTGCCCTACAGTACTGGTATGAGGTGAACTGAAAAATATGATTTCTTTGTTTATCATTTTTACTGTGCAAATATTTGTAATAAAAATAATATAAAGTGAGCCCTGTACACTTTGTATTCTGTGTTGAAATCAACGTATTTAAAAATGTCAAAATTTAATAAATTTCAATTGGTATTAAATTATTTAACAGTGCAATTAAAAGCGTGATTAATTTTTTGAGTTAATCGTGTGAGTTAACTGCGATTAATTGACAGCCCTAACTGGAATATCAATATTGTACTTGCATTTCAGTGCGTGGTATATAGAGCAGAATAAACAAGTCCTTATATGAAATTTTAGTTTGGACAGACTTTGCTAGTGCTTTTTATGTAGCCTGCTGTAAAACAAGGTCAATATCTGGATGAGTCGGTGTACTCCCTGGGAGACGTGTGCACACCCCGAGGGGTACGCATGCCCCTGGTTGAGAACCACTAAAGAAGGCAGGACTGCAAGCGAAGGGCACTAGGGGAGGGTGGGACTCAGTAGGGGGCGCTGCTGACATCTCTCCCTGGCCCAGGTCTCTCCTCAGAGCTGCGGGCCCTGCTGGCTGCCATGCTGGACCCCGATCCCCGGCTCCGGCCCTCGGTGGAGGCGCTGCTCAACTCCAGCATCATGCGCAAGACGGAGAAGTGGCGCAAGCTGACACTGCTGCTGCAGGACGGACTCCTGAGAGCTGCCTCCTTGTGCCAGGTGAGTCCTGGGAGTGGGGAGCACGTCAGTCCTGAGCCGCAGCCCCCAGCTGTGCCGGTGTCCCTCACTCCTGACCCGCAGCCCCTGCTAGCCCAGCCCTGGGCTCCCCCCAGCTCTGCCCATGCCCCTCATTCCCGACCCACACCCCCTGCTAGCCCAGCCCTGGGCTCCCCCCAGCTCTGCCGGTGCCCCTCACTCCTGACCCGCAGCCCCTGCTAGCCCAGCCCTGCCCCCCCCCTCCCAGCTCTGCCCGTGCCTCTCACTCCCGACCCGCAGCCCCTGCCAGCCCAGCCCTGGCCTCCCCCCCAGCTCTGCCGGTGCCCCTCCCTCCCGACCCGCAGCCCCCTGCTAGCCCAGCCCCGGGGCTCCCCCCACAGCTCTGCTGGTGCCCTTCAACCCTGTTGGTTGAACTTTCTCTTCTCCCTCCCCCGCTCAGGGTGTTGGGAGTTTTGTGCGTTGGCTGTGGGCTGCCCTGTGCCTGCCGGCGCGCTGGCTCTCCAGCTGGCATCGCACCGTGCCCGTCACCCCGCCCTGCTCCCCGCTACTTGCCAGCCTGCTGGATAGTAGCTTCTCCTGGGACGAAGAGGAGGAGGAGGAGGAAGATGGGAGCCTGGGGGAGGATGTGTTCGAGGTATCGGGGGTCTGCGGGCGGCATAACCGGACCTGCCCCGGGGAGCTGCTATCACAGGACAAGTGAGTGGGAGGGACAACACACCCACATCTACCCATGGGCTCTCATCCCCTCCAGTAGGGGCAGCACTGTTTCTCCTAATCCACTCCAGCAGAGGGCAGCACTGCCCAGGTGTGCTCTCTCACACAGGGCAGGAAGGGACTTCTGGGGTGCAGGGAGGATATGGGGGTGAATCTAGGACTAGGGAGGGGTAGGAACATGGGAGTGTATGAAGGTGGGGGAACAAAATATGAGATGTGGAGGAGTTGGGGGGGGGGTATCTGCGGCAGGTAGGAATGCAGGAGGAAGCTGGGGTGGGGCACTTGGGGGCTAAGAATATGGGGTAATCCATATGGAGGCAAGTGGACAAAAGGGTCCATATGGAGGCAAGGGGGCAGGGGTATGTGGTTCTCCTCCCTTTGGGGTGTAATAGGGGTGATGGGGTGTGGGAGAGTACCCAAGCTTACCTGAGCAAGGAGGTGCATGGAGGTCCTTCTAAGGGATGGGGTACTCCTGAACTGGGGTGGCCCCTTGGAGGTTGGGGGGGGGACATGGTGGTTGGGAGATGGACTCCCCAAGCTTCCTCTGGGGAATGCTGGGTCCCAGGGCCAGCCCCTCCTGCACCCACAGGGGCTTCCCCTCACGCCTCTGCTTCCCTGGCAGGCCCCCGAGCTCCCCGCCGCTGAACCTGCGTCCCTCCATGGGCAGCACTTCCACCCCGCGCCACCTCTCTCCACCGGAGACTGGCAGCAGGAGGACGAGGTGAGATGTTGGGTGTCAGGCAGGGCTGCAACCTGTCCTGCGGGCCTCTTCCCTTGCTCCTGCACACTTGAGAACCTAGGAGTCCTGGCTTCCACCCCCCTGCTCTGACCCACCAGACCCCACTCCCCTCTCAGAGCTGGGGAGAGAACCCAGGAGTCCGGGCTCCCAGCCCCCACTCCTCTAACCCACTAGACCCCGCTCCCCTCCCAGAGCTAACTGGGGCATCTCAGCTGGGGGACAGACATTTGGGGACAATCCTGCCCTGGGTGGGGATGGTCTAGATGGACCCCCAGGGGGTGTCTCCATCTCCCACTGCCCTGATCCCACCCTGGTTCCCCCCTCCTAGGTCCTCAGCCGTCCAGGGCAGCCCCAACCTGAGCCGCATCAGCCTGGATTCCCCCCCCAGCAGCCCCGGCTCCCCCAACCTCCGCCGCACCCTGGCCTTCGAGGAGGACGACGAGGAGGAAGAGCAGAGGGAGGAGAGCGCGCCCCAGGATGCAGGCCAGCATTGCTCCTTTGAGCCCAGGAACCTCCTGAGCATGTTCGAGGATGCCACGGCGGAGCAGAAGTGACCGGGCTTCAATGATCAGCTGCCCTCAGCTTGATTGTTCCTGGGGCGGGGAGGGTGAGTGAATCTCACTGGGGTAATGACCCCACGTGGGCCCTCGCCGACCCCACTCTGTTCTCCACACTGCTGGGGGTGGGGTGGGGACAGAGCCCTCCTTCCCTGACGCTGCTTCTGTTGCTGGCAGCGGGGGGCTGCTGGGAGGAGCAGTTGGGGGTTGACTCTCAATGTACTTTATTTTTTTTTTCCTTTTCTTTTCCTTTTTTTTAAGCTTTTTAACCTCTTCATGAACTGGTGGGAGGGACACAGGTGCTGCCATCCCCTCCCACCAGGGGTCGCTGTGGCTCTGCCCCAGGCCAGGACCAACTGGGGTTTGTGGATCTTTTGTTTTTGGTTTTTCTGTTTTTAAGGGAAGGCAGCAACTCTGAGAAGTGTTAATAAAAAGTGCTTTGAAATGATCACGAGGCTGAGGGAGAAATAGATTGTCAGGGTCGAGCCTGTCTCTGGGGTGTGGGCAGCACTGCCCCCAGCTGGAGGGAATTGGGATCCCCTGGCTGTGTGGGGTGATCTCTGCCACTCTACCTCCATCTTGACCACTAGCACCACTAACTCACCCCCTCCTCAGCAGGGCTGACGAGCTGGGACTTCCTTGGCACCCTACAAACCTTGATTATGTAACACCTACGGGGGGTGCACAAGGGCTGCTCCCCAGCTGCCAGCTACCCCATGTGCCCTGCAGCAGTTGAGGTGTCCTACCACATGCAAATTGGGAGGGGCAGTCATGTACCTTTCTCTGCTCTTATCGGGTTTCTCTCATGCAGAGGTCGGGGTGTGCTTTGTGGGCTGACTCCCTTACTGCCCCTCCCTCCACAGTACACTGAGGCACAGGGAAGGGAAATAATTGCGCTCTGAGCACACACATTAAGTTTAGGACAGAACCCACAAGTCCTGGCTGCCAGCTCCCCTGCTCTAACCTCCTGGACCCCATTCCCGTTCCAGAGCTGGGGCTAGAAGCCAAAGGGCCCAAAATGAAATTATTGGGTCAGGGATCTGCTCTTGGTTCTGTTTGTACTGTGCCTGGCCCAATGAGCCGTGATTAATGACTAAGGCTCCATAGGGCTAGTGCCACACAGATTATAATAGGCAGCTCTCTGGTTAAAATTGGGCAGCTTTGAAGACAATCTGACTTTAAAACCAGATTTAGTTAAATCAGTGTAGACACTCTTAATCAACATGAAATTTGGGGCCAGGAATCTGCTTAAGACAAAGAGCTAGACACTAGGCTTCAATTTGAATTAAGACAGTCTGCACTGGTGTGTCTGTCTAGCTAAGATACTTATCTGGGCCCCATCACCCATGTATCAGACTACCTCGCAATCTTATCCTCTCACACCCCTGCGAGGAGGGAAAATGCTATTATCTAATTTTACGGCTGGGGAAACTGAGGCACAGACTATGTATGAGCTCAGGGAGTTTGTGATAGAGTAGGGACTTGGGCCCAGGCCTCTCACGTCCTAGGGAACACTCAAGCCACTGGGCCATCCTCTCAATTTGTTTCCATAACTGGAGTGACTCTGAATGCAGACAAATCCTCATGTTTAGAGGAGGGGGTGGTCAAGAGAGGTAAGAATGTGTTCTTTTAGAGACCTTGGGTTGAGGATGGGGGAGGTAGTGGAAGGCATGAGGAGCACAGAACAATCCAGTTAATTCTAGTGGGGTGACAGCTATGGAGAAGGTAGGGAGGGGTGGGACATTATTGGAGAAAATCCACGGCCAACAGGGGTGGAAGAACATTGAAGATCCTCCACTACTGGATGTGGGACATCAGTGGAGAAGACTCATGCCCATTGGGGACAGAGGAGGGTTGAAGGTCCATGCCCAACTGGTGCTGGAGATCCCAGGGTGGCAGCATGCAGCAGCACCATCCTTGCTTGTTCCTCCAGAGGTCTCACCTCTGTTCTACCGTCTCTGCAGCAGATTCCTAGCCTTCAATGGAGCAAGGCGACGCTTCTGCCAGTGGAAACGGAGGTCCTGGAGCCAGCTATGGCCAGAGGACTAAGAACCACACGCACATGAGCTCTGTCTCTGCTTTATTGAAGCCTAGAGCTACCATCCAACAGGACCCTGGTGGGAGGCGGTGGCCCGTAAGAACCTCCATCCCCCTGCTCCCCCCACCCCGGCAGAATGTGGATTTTAGCCTCTTACTTTTCAGTTTTGTATTTTTAATTTAAAAAGATATGTTGCTTCGGCACGAAGCCGCGAACACTAGCTGTGTTCATGTGCCCTGAGATAACGGAGACAAGACTGGATTTGGGGGGGTGGGGAGAGCAGAACCCACCCAACACCACCCCTCTGAGGGAGGCCAGAGAAATACAGCCATCCTTTCAATGTGGGAGAACAGTTCACAGCCTGCAACCCACTTCTTAGCTTTCCTTTTGGCCTCAGTTACAGGGTGGGACAACAGGGACACAGAACCTGCGGTAGAAGGCCTGATCTCTCCTCTCCCCAAACCATTAGACCCTATCCCCTTCCTAGAGCTGGGGACAGAACCTAGAAGTCCTAACTCCTAGGCCCCCAACACTAACCATTAGAACCTGCTTGCTTCCCTGAGCAGGGATAGAACCCAGGAGTCCTAGCTCCCATCTCTCCCTGCTGTAATCCACATCATGCTGTGTGGTTGGTTATCCTTTGATGCTTGACTCCTTGTCTTGGCACAGCACAGCTGTCTCAATTGTCCATTTTGTCCACCCATGGTCCTACTCTACCTCTACTACCCTTTGTACTGCTTCCTTAAAGGTTTGTCTACATGGCAATTCAAGCAAGTTTCTAATACTGAACTGGTTTCTAAACCAGTGTGGTTGCCCACCAGGAATGAGGTTGAGAGGGCCCCATTTACACTGAACAAAACAATCAGAGAACAAGATGGAATTTAAGAACTGCTTATGTAAGTTGGCTTCCACCTTAAGAACCAGCTTGACCCCCATATACGTTGCCTGGTAAAACCAGATTAGAATCTGGATTAAAAATCTAATTTGGCTATATTGACACATGGCCTCCCACGTGGAATCCTGATTGAGAAACCATTTAGCTATATTCACACATGCAGCCTCATGATAGGAATCAGGACTGAGAATGAGTTTAGCTACATTACACATGGCCAATTGGAATCCAAATTGAGAACCAGGGTAGCTTCATTCACACTTGGGCAATTGGAATCCAGATTAAGAACAATTTTAGCTACATTCACACCTGGTCTCTGGACAGGAATCCAGACTGAGAACGAGTTTAACTATGTATGCATGTGGCCAACTGGAATCCAGATTGAGAACCAGTTCAGCTGCTCCCACACCTGTGGCTTCTGAATCCAGTTTAGCTCCATTCACACACACACACCTCCCTGCTCAGGATCCAGATTAGCTATCCAGGGCCCAATGAACAGGGATTGGAAAACAATGATCCAGAGCTGCCTCTGTGTTTAGTGGCCCTAAGTTACATAAGGGGAAGGGGAACAGTAGGTACACCCCCAATGCCAGCAGAGGGTGGAAGGAGAGCCCTGGCACTCAACGCCCGGGGCTCCCGGTGAGCACCATGGGGTTAGCAGCAGATGGGACGTGTAGTATAAAAACAGGCTGATGGGGACACAGTCCCCTGCTGGCTGTTACTGCACCAGGAGCCGTGACTGCTGCAGAAAGGGGAATACCTGTTCCTCCCTCGGCAGGGGGAGAGTGCAGACCAGGGCTCAGTAACAGGAAACACCCCCCCCCTACCCCCAGAGCAGGGAGCAACAGGAAACTGAGGCACAAGCAGCTGAAGCCGCTTGGCCCAAGGATGATGGCAACAACTGAGGAGAGAACCCAGGAGTCCCGCTGTAGCTCTTAGATTCCACTGCCTCCTTCCCCCCACCTCCCCCAATGCACACAGCTTCTCCTGGGCTGCCTCCCCCGAGCCCCTAGTCAGTGCAGACCCCAGCATCCAGGCACCTCGTCAGCCCTTTAAAAAGTAGAAAGTATTGCATGGTGTCTCAAAGTCTGTAGGATACCTGGATAAAAGGGGGAGAGGGGCTGCGCCACCCCCTAGCTCCTCAAAATAGTGCCCCCTCGCAGCCCCCCACCCTGCCCCCAGTCCCTATGGGCGAGCACTGCTGGTGATCCAGAAGGATCCAAAGGACCGCAGCCAATAGAAATCCATCCCTGGTGGTCCAGAATGACCCACGGACAGCGGGCATCTGGCTGGAGCTTCGTTAAAGGGAGTCTGTGGCTAGTGACCCAGAAGCACCCTCATCAGCCAAAGAGAGTCTATCCAGAGTCTAGCCAATGGAAGTGCATTGCTGGCAACAGAGAAGAGCCCTCAACCATGGAAATCCAACCCTGGTGATCCACAATGATTCTCAGCCAGTGGGAGCCCTGATCTGCTGAGCCAGAAGACCCCTTAGCCAATGGGAGTTGATCCAGAAGTCACCAAAACCACCAGAAATCCATCACTGGCCATCCAGAAGACCCCTTGGCCAAAAGGACTGGAGACGGTGCCTTGGCCAATGGGAATCCATTGTTGGCCAACAGGAGTGGATCTAGAGGATGCCTTGGCCAATGGGAATCCATTGTTGGCCAACAGGAGTGGATCAAGAAGACATCTTGGCCAATGAGAATCCACCACCGGCCACCCAGAAGACCCCTCAGCAAACGGGAGTGGATCCAGAAGACCCCTTGGCCAACGGGAATCCATCGTGTGGTGACCTGGAGGGATGCAGCCACAAGACCACACCATTCCCCACTGGCTGGCGGGCCCGGTCAGTCCTGGGGGCAGGCATAACTGGTGACCCACAGCAAGTCGGCCACCACCCCCCAGTGGAGGTAGAGGATGCTGACCACCACCAGCACGTGCATGATCTGGTGGCTGTTGAACCAGTAGTCGAAGCGGCCGGGTTGCCAGCGCTCAGGCATGCGGGAGACGTTGATGATGCCCCCCAGCAGGGCCAGGCCATCCATGATGAGGTACGAGCGCAGCGAGGAGGGGTGGCCCGTGCCCAGGCCCACCCAGCGCAGGTAGAAGAAGAAGAAGCGGAAGAGGGCCTGCCAGGCGAAGGAGCGCAGGCGCCGCACGTTGGAGTGGGCCGTCACCGCGCAGATGATGGCGTAGCTGGACAGCGCCGTGTAGGCCAGCAGGGCGGCGCTGCGGGGAAGTGGGGAGCAGGCAAGGGTGCAGTAGATGATGGGAAGGGCACCTGCAGGGAGGGGGGGAGCAAAGGGGTTAGAGGTGGGGGGCAACCAGCCCTTTCTCAGCACCATCCAACCCACCCGGTACCTGCACTGCCCCACAATGCCACTACCCTCCCCTCCACCCTGGGATCCTCTTCCTTTCCACCGGATCTACCCTAGCCCCAGCACTGCCCCTCCATAACCCCCAACCAGTCCCCCCCCACCCCTGGCTCTGCCCTCAACCAGTCCCCCCCAGCTCTGCTCCCCATAACCCCAACCAGTTCTGCCACGCCCCCCAACCAGTCCCCCCAGCTCTGCCCCTCCATAACCGCCCAACCAGTTCCCCAGCCCCCCACTCACCCAGCGTGTTGACCATGCAGACCCCGCACATGTCGAGGGTCAGCAGGGTGTGGTAGACGGCCGGGCCCCCCTCGTGGTTCATGAAGAGGTGGTAGACCACACTGCCCAGCTGGGGCACCACGCAGGCCAGGTAGTGCACCACGGCCAGCCAGCCCACCGAGATCCGCGCCCATGGGATGGACAGGGGCAGCAGGAAGACGAAGCCCAACAGGGGGATGCCTGAGACCGAGACGGGGAGGCTCAGCAGCAGTGATCGGCCATGGGGCACCCCATTCCCCTTGGACAACCCAATCCAGGCAGCGTCCCCGTCCCCCCCCCCCCGAGTGCCACAAACTAGCTCCCTCCCCTGGAGTTGCCCCAGAACCAGACCCCCCTCTGCACGGGCACTGCACCCCTCCCCCAGGCTGCATCTTAGGGTCCCCCAGGATGACCCCAATTGTCTTAGTATCCCTGGGT